ACATCTTTGGCAGCTTTTTTTTTGTAGCGAAGCACTGCACATACAGAGTCCAGGCACAGTGACCACTTCAGAAGGATGAAGTGGTTATGGTGCTTGAAATAACACATTAAATCCTTCTCACACAACATGATGATGTGAACACTGTAAATGCTTCACATTGAAAAACAGTGGATTCTCTGTAAGAAGCATTTGATTGGTTGTGAGGAGTGATTGGTGTCTTACTAGTACCCCAGTTCTTTTCTGCAAGAAGCACTAGATTGGACCTGAGATTATCCAGATCTCATAAGAGTAGGAACAGATGCATGGCCCGAGATAAAAGATACGTAAAAAATCACAGTTTAATAGATATAACCTAAAATGAAAACTTGCATGCATTTAATTATGCATTTTTCATTGGAGTTATATATAAAAACAGCTTGCAAAAACTGCAGTTCTCTTGTCGGCTGCCTTGACAAGACCGCCCCTTCTAACCCTGCCCAGACTTTCTGTGGCTGTTCAATCACAGACTTCCCAATGCAGCTCAATGAGACGTTTTTGCAAGGCAGGTGCCTATGAGCAATTGCTGCTTTTTGAGTTTAGCTCCACTGAGCTTAACAAACCAGGAAGTAACAGGACCAGTTGTCTTACTGACAGCCAGGGGTGTGTAACAAGGTAATTAATAAGGTGACAATTTTGATTGGAATCTGCACTTTTGTAAAATGAAAAAAGAGGACACACTCTTTATACATAAATCACGTCAGCAAGCTGAAGTGCTTTAGGGGTCTGGAGTGTCCCTTTAAGTGCAGGACAAGCTCATTGGCTGAGAGTGTCAGAGAGGTTCATGTTCTCCATAGGAAGTAGTGCAGATGAGAAGTGCCGACCATGCGGTGTATTTACCGCAAGGCTGACAAGGCATTTGCCTTGGGCGGCACTTTCAGGGGGGCGGCAAAGAAGGTCACCAACCAAACGCCCTGGCAAATGCCTTAACAGCCTCTTGTTCTGGGGGGCTCAGGAGCTGGCCGGGTGCCACCTCTGGGCCCCTCCGTGGCTGGCATGGGCTGATGTGGGAGGCGGGCGGCGAGGGACGACTCTGAGCTCTTCCCTGCTCAGCTCCCTCGCACACACTGCAGTGTGTGCCGGTGCCGGAATATGACGTCACTCCGACTCCGGCATCACTAAGAGGCACGTGAGGAACAGGGCCGGACTGGGGATTCCAAAGCAGCCCTGGAAAAAAAATCTATGCCAGCCCCATAAGTCATTCCGCCATATATTGTCGCATGTAATATGTAAGGCTATGTCTTGTCACCCTAGATGATTGATATATATATATATATATATATTGCTTTTTCCAATATAAAATATTGGTCCTTTCAGAGTAAAATTTTTAATTATACAGTAAGCATACTCACATGCAGACACAGACAATCTCACTGACACAAGCTGATTGATACACAGCCTCACAGACAAACAATCTCACTGAAATACATAAGGTCATTGACATAAAAACACGAGCACACTCAGTAGCAGGCGTACACACACACACACACACGCAAGCCCACTCACTAGCAGGCGCGCCCACACAAACAGCTTAATGTAGTGGCTCTGGTGTCTATGTGTCAGTCAATGTGTATGTCTGTTAGCGAATGTGTGTCTCTGACACTGAGTGTTTATGTGTCTGTCAGTGAGTGTGTATGTGTGTTTGTCAGTATCTGTCAGTGTGTGTGTGTGTGTCTGCCAGTGAGTGAGTGTGTGTGTGTCTGACAGTGGGTGTGCGTCTGTCAGTGAGTGTGTATGTGTCTTGTCAGTGAGTGTGTATGTGTATCTGTCAGTTAATGCGTGTGTCAGTTAGTGTGTCTGTCGGTGAGTGTGCGTGTCTGTTTGTCAGTGAGTGTGTATGTTTCAGTGAAAGTGTGTATTGGTTAAACAGTGTGTGTGACAATGACTGTGCATCTGTCAGTGAGTTTATGTCAGTGTATGCATCAATGAAGGTGTGTGTCTGTTAGGCAAAGAGCGCGTTGGTTTTTAACAGTAAGTGAAATTAAGAAGGGGGTGTGGGGTGCCTGAGAATTGTCATGCCTAGGGCAGCACAAAAACAGAATACACCACTGGTGGCGCCCCATAAATAAAACGGCAAACTGGTCTATAGCGGTCTAGCTAATTAGAAATGAAGACATCAGAGGACTTCTGACACCATAACCACTACAGAAGACTATAGTAGTTATGGTACTTTGAGTGTTTCTTAATATGAGTTTAATGACTTGAAAATAAATATATGGCTATGTTTTCCAAGGTACGTTGATGAAAAATCCTTATTCTCTGGATATTTTGGGATGAATACTATTCACTATTATTTGGGATCAATACTATTATCCTGATAGAAATTCTAGATAATTCTATTTATTGTACACAAGAATAATCAACTATTTCTCACATTCTGTATATACTAATTATTTATGTTTCTTGTGATTGTAAAAGTCACACTGCAAATATAACACATGCACTGTCTATATGTTCATCAAAATCTGCAATAATGTTTTTATTTTTCTATACTTTATTTATTTATTGTGTTGTTGTTGTTGTTAGTATTGTTGACCTCAAAGCACAATAATGGCCCCAGATCTGTAAAGGCCCTGACAGCTTGTCACGTGACACAATGGGATAGTTAATGGAGGCGTGGCCTCGATATCACAAGAAAACTTTCTCGTTGGTGCCCCGCCCAGTTTTCACCTTCCAAGGTTCTGATTGGCTAACGCGACTTCCGCGGGCGGGCATTCCAAAGTTACGTCATTTTGCTGCGTCGGCGGGAAAGGTTGCTGGGTGCAGTGGCGCCAGCATCGTAGTTAATGTAGTTAAAGACAATGGCCAACAGGAGGAAGGAAGCCGCGGGCGTGGAGGAGGATGAGGCCAAGAATGCAGACATGGAGGATGAGGAGGGTGACGATGGGAACAGGAGGCAGCTCAGGCATCATTACAGGGAACTCATGCAGAGCATGCAGAGTGAGTACCATAACCACTTACTGTCACCATAACCACTTACAGGCACCATGACCACTTACAGGCACCATGGAGGGGGGTACTCACTGATCAATCACTTCTAAACAGAAATGCAAAGTTCACACTAAACTAATCTGGGAGAACGTGTCTAACTAAAAATTTTAAATAAAAAAATCTGTTTTAAATGAGCAGTTTCAGTAATAAATCCCAGGAGTTATAAATTATAGTGAATTGGCAAAGAAAAAAGGAAAAAAAGCTATAATACTGCAAAATATAGTATAAAATAGCCACGCTGCAGAGCAGAGTTGGGGAATTGTTTTCCAAGTTGGCATGTTACGTCTTAAAATTAGCTGACGCTCCCAGTCTGTCACTGGCAGCCCTTAGTGAGTAATGCTTCAGAAACATTTTAGGAGCTGGACCATCCTATGGGGAGACTACACTTCATTGTTAAAAATTTTTAACACCGTTTATCACTTGAATGCAGGAAGGTGCATGCATCCAAGCTTTGAATTAATGCTTTCCCATTGGGGCGTCATGTGACCAGGTTTTACTCTAGAGGTGGAAGTGCCTCTACTGGTTATCTCCCTTGTCCCTCTAATTTTAAAGAATAAAAGTGTAAAAACAAGGTAAAAGTTGCCTAAAACCAAACGTCAGGCGAAGCTCCTGCTCCCCACTCCTAGCCTGACATCACTGGTGCCATCATGAGGTGCAATCAAATACTTCTCATGTAGTAGCATTTGATTGTACGGTTTCACTTGCTCAGAACATTTTGAGAAAAAAAAATAAAACACAAAAACTGAACTGAATAGGTAGACAAAGGCTTAAATGAAAGGTAGAAGAGTATTATGGGGCAGTGACAGATGTCATTCTTGCACAGATTTAACATAAGTCACGTGTGACAGGGGTGTAACTAGCCCCAGGCACAAAAATAAAGATATGTGTGTGCAGGGTTTCAAGCAGTAATGCTGCATATACAGACACCTACTACCATGACCACATCTAAAAGCAGAAGTGGCCATGGAAGTTGGAGTAACCCTTTAATCTACTTCATTATCTTGA